TTCAAAAGTTTTGTCTGATTGTGAGTCTACTTTGAACTGTAATAATAGCCGCCATCAGTACACTTTTGTCAGTATAACACAACTCGATTAATTCCGTCAACATTAAAATTTTGTGATCGTGATTCGATGAAGTCGACAAGGGCCGTTTATGCCTAGTCCTAATTGGCGAAGGTTTTACCGGTGAGAAAGTTATCAATATGATTGAAATTATGGTAGTCGGTTGGCGAGTGGTCTGGGGAATATGGTGGGTGAGGTAGAACTTCGACGCTCAATTCGCATCAGCCGTAGCTATTAACGTCAAACATATACAATATATCTAAATTATGCAGTTGTATACATTACAGTTTAAATAAAATGTTACATTCTTTAGGAAATTCAATAATATTGTTTGCATTGGTACTTTGGAAAATCACTTAGGTCGGAGGGGGTTTTATTGTTCAGTCTCTCAACTGTGGGGAGCACCCTACCAGAACATGCCTAACAGTCACAGACACTTCCCGCGCAAAACATTCTGGTGGCGGTTCTTTCCTCAGTAGNGGACCCAATGATCACTTACCCCACGGTGTGGGGAGTGGTCATTGATTGATAATGCTGGCGCGCCCTCCCGAATGTATCGGGGCTTCGGGGGATAGGGCCTGACCAGCGCACATTACGGTGAAAAAAAAATTATATCGCCTTTATTATCTCAAAACCAAAACAAAAAACACAACATAACTTGTATATTCAACTTACAATTGAAATAAAGGGCGAAGTTCATCGTACGTAATGAAATACATCACGGAAAATATTTCGAACCAATGAAAAGTTTCGATGATGCTTCACTCACACTTTTTTTTTTAGAAAAAACCGCATATGTGGATGCGGATGCGAGATTCCGTCAAAATCGTATTCTGGATCGGTAAGCAGAGATAGATAGTGATTGGAAGAGGTCTTTCAACAGAGACTTCCGAACTTTGACAATTGATAACGGGTGTTGTGTTCGGGCAACGTAAGCCGCGTTTCGTCAATTTTACGGTCGCCATACTCGTTCTACCGAGAGGAATATTCGAAATGTGGTGGATAAATTTGAGTCCGCTGGTTCAGTAAACGATCGACCAACACCCGTACGTCGACGAAACGCAAGATCTACCAAAAACATCGCCGCTGTTTGTGAGTGTGCAGGCTAATCCGAGGCAGTCGATTCCGCGTCGCTCACAATAACTCAGGCTTTTGCAGACCACAACTTGGCAAGTTTTGCGTCGTGACTTGGGCCTGCACCCATACAAACTGAAAGTAAACGACCATAGACAACGACGTATGTTTGCTGAATGGGTGCTGGAGCAGTTGGCAAGTGACCCTAATGTTCATTAAAAAATCACCTTCAGCGATGAGGCTCATTTCTGGAAGAGTGAGTGAACAAACAAAATTGTCGAATTTGGTACGATACCAATGCACATGAGTTCCAAGAGTGTACACATCCCGAAAAGTCACTGTTTGGTGTGGATTTTGGGCTGGCGACGTCATCGGTCCATACGTCTTTGAGAACGACTTGGGCCAGGCTATCACTGCCAACGGCGAGCACTATAAGCCGATGACTACCAACTTATTTTGGTCTGAATTTCGTTATGATCTGGACACACAGAACTTAAACATAGAGGAGAACGGAAATAGCGTTCTGTGATAGTGTTCCTACAAGGAGAAAATTAAGCAGTAGGAACGCATGCGCATAACGCGTTTTCGGAGATGGTTTCAGATTATTTGCAGCCCACTTTGAAAAATCCGAAAATAAAATTGACACAATATTTGTACTTTTGCTATTTTTTGTTTTATAGGGGAGCTCTCTCAATCTAGCCATGCTAAATTAGAAAAAGGTCTTTTGGAATCTATAGTATAATAGGTTGGGGAGGACTCGCTTCCTTATACCTTGAAAGGATCATTAAAAAACAACTAATTTTTNAACAATGAAAAAATCACGTGAAATCGGTACAATGCATTTACAAAAACGACTTTCTAAACCTGTCATTTGTCAACAATGTCAACGTTTGTAGCCAATGCGCAGACTCTCCTACTGCAAGTCATTTCCCCTTATAGGAACGTTACATTATCATAAAATGTATTATTTTTCCGTTCTCCTCTTTTAAGTTCTGTGTCTGGACATCAACGACATGTGATTTCAACAGGACGGCGCTACGTGCTACACATCTCATGCCGCGTTGGATATTCCACACGAGCGACTTGAGGGCTAACGAGATCGTGCGATTAGACTCCGTTAGACTCTTTCTTGTGGAGTTTTCTTAAGTGACAGGTGTATGCCAATGAGCCACAGCTAACATAACGTCATCGGTCAAATTCAGTCTGATTTCCCAGAGTCATGAGAAATTGAACGTTTTGGATGGGCTCCACCCAGAGAAGCCATGGCGGACATTTGTGTGTGCTATGTTCCATACATCTGTATCTGTAGAGTAGAGAGGGAGAGTGTAGATCCACAAAACTTAGGCCACACATGACCCATTGTACATCCTCCCGGGAGTTATCCTCTTAGGTCATCGTTCATCCTGTCCTTTCCAGGAAGTTGGACAGGTCACTAGGAAACACTAGGCAGGTGTAGGCCAAGACTCGCCGAACACACACTGTCTTTGGTAACTTTGAGGTGTTTCACGATGGCCTCCGCGAAGGTTTTGGAAGGTGCAGCGACATTACCGTTATTGCGCGGCTTCTTCAACCTTCTTAGGGTTCCCTCCGTGAAGGTGCACAAGTGGGGGAGCTTTCCTGCAGGGGCAGCCGGTTCCTTCCCTTTATTCAAGGCGGAGCTCTTGGCGCTCGCCGTAGAAAGTGCCCTTGCTGTTGGAGGTGGAGTGTGGAAGGAGTTGGGTGCACTTATAGTTGCTGCCACTCCTGACTCTTTCGCTCTCTTTTGGCCTCGGCACCGCAAATGCGCTTACGCCTTGGCCTTTGTATCACATCACGAGGTGATCTGCTATGTCCAGCCTCATTCCAAGCGGTAGATTGGGGTGGACATTTCTGTTCATTCCCAGTCACCGCCTTAGATTGAAATGAGCACTTCTGTCCAGCCTTGGGATTGGTTTTTGTTTTTTCTCTTTTTATGTTCGTTTCATTCATGTGTGTTCCACAGGGCTCTGGCAGAGCCCCGCATTACCAAAGATAGGCTGATAACAATGAGGTTTCGCCCAGTTCCCCAAGGGGATCGCATATCATCCTGCGGCCATTCAGCTGTCGGCCCGATTCCTTACACCTTAGCTTGGGTAGGTTGGCCCACAGTGGCATATTTTGCAAAGGCTTTTGGGGAATTTTAGTTCCCCTAGCCCTACTTATTTCTGCCACTGATCAGGTGTTCGGCGACCCCGTCCGTAAGGCCACATTGGCTTCCCGGACAGGGCCTCCAGTCCCCTGGCCATTCCCCTATCCGCGCCCGATAGGTAGCCCAACCCACGGGTTCCACACATAAAGGCATTAATAGGTCTTTCAAACGAATAAAAATTTGGATGATGTCTCACTCACACTTTTTTTTTAGAAAGAAACCGCATCAGCCGTAGCTATTAACGTCAAACATATACAATATATCTAAATTATGCAGTTGTATACATTACAGTTTAAATAAAATGTTACATTCTTTAGGAAATTCAATAATATTGTTTGCATTGGTACTTTGGAAAATCACTTAGGTCGGAGGGGGTTTTATTGTTCAGTCTCTCAACTGTGGGGAGCACCCTACCAGAACATGCCTAACAGTCACAGACACTTCCCGCGCAAAACATTCTGGTGGCGGTTCTTTCCTCAGTAGATGTTCATGCGTAAGGCGAGTGTTTCCCAGTCGCAATCTGGTAATTATGACTTGATGGGACCGGTTTGTTGCTTTGTTGTTCCAAGAATAGAATATAGATTTGATTTCCTTGAGTTTGGAGGGTTTTTGAGACCAATGGTGATTCCACATTTCTACAATTTAGCCATGGAAAAAGGATTTGAGATCTGTTGGCAATGCTTCCTTACTGAGAGTACATGCTGGATATTCTAGAGCTTCTCTGGCAAGTTTATTAGTCTGGTTCACATGTACTCGATTTAGCTCTTTTTGGTGACATTTGTCAACCCTGTCCAAAAATTACGACCAAGGTGTCATTCGATTAGTATTTTTGCCTAGAAAGTTTAAGGAAGTGTCCGAAAACGCGCCGATGAAAATTGCAAAAGTTATAAATAATTATGTGAAAAAAAAATGGGGCTTTAGTTTTTTCTCAATATTTCGGAAAATTTTCAAGATTTTGGAAATTTGAAAAAAGATTTGAAAAGATCAATGAATTTGCGTAAAAAAAATCCCGACCTCGAAACTGTATCTCGATTATTTATAATTTTTACAGAGCCCTGAAAATAGAGCTAAAAGCGGGTAGTCTGGCTTCCGCGCGCCTTTCGTCACTCTGACATAAAAACAAAAAAAATTATTTAAACATATTAA